TCCTTCTAAAACACTTGTGCCAGGCAGGACTCCATGCGAGGCTCCATGGCGAAATTCAAATCCAGATCCAGCAAAAGCTAGAGGGCAGTCAGGGTGACACCCTCCCAGTAAACGTACCCAGGAGGTTGCCTGTTTGTTCGATGAAGGTTACTAAGAGCCTGTGTTTCAAATATGCAATCCAGGGAATGGCAACAATGCACCATGTGTGTCTGAAGAGCAGCTGGTAGGATATTAAAAGTCCAATTTAAATAACTAGTAGAAGATAAAGGAGTGAGTGGCAGAGTAGAGTTCTACTATTGGGTCTGAAATACTTCATAATTCAGCAGTCCATTCTGAAAAATAAGAAAAGAAACGACAAATCAGCACAGATAACATAACACTCAAATATTATAAAACATTAAATCAAAGACAAAGCCGTTCACGCTGCCGAATCATTTATAATCACAAGTGGAGTGAGAATCAGGAATGCTTGGCAATCATATCAGAATAACATAATTATTATTTTTATCAGGAAGAACACTGATGCCCAAAGCAAAGAGCCGATGAGCTACATAGTTGATGGTTAGATGTTTTTCACAATTTTCCAACTTTATAAAAGTGCTAGTCGAGAAAGCAATCTTCTGCTTTAGCTAGCGTATTTATTTATAGGTTAAATTTTGCTTCCCACCAAAAACCTAATAGCACTCTGTGTTTGAATCACAGTAGGTACTGTAGCTTATTGCCTTACTCTCAGTTTTCTAAAAATCCAAGTGCTGAAAATGGGGCGAGCTCCCTAGAAATACCGCAGACCAAAGGGGCCAGCCCAGGTAACACTAACCAAAGTCATGGGCAGGACCTACATCAAACTTCTTGCTTAGCAGCTTTACAAAAGGGTGGCCAGGAGCCCCTTCCACCTCCTGCCCCTAGCAAAGAAAAGAGAGTTATGGAGGGAGAAAAGGAAACAAGTTCATATTCTGATCAGTTACACAGTACTCTCCATTAACAACAGCACCATTTGGGCCTGGTATTTTCTTATAAAATCAAGAGATGTGAAAATCATGTTTGGAGTAGGGCAAAACACATGACACGGGAAAAGTACCAAAATCCTTTTCATTAGAGAAACTGAAAAAGCTATTAATCTACAGCTGCTAGAGCATCTGTACACACTTTTTTCTTCACTTTCTGCTCTTAATTCCTTTCATTCTAACCTAAGAAGACCCACAGAATACCTGTCTCCAAAATGCAGCACAACCCTGATGTTGTGCTAAAAGAAATGTTCTTCATACCAATGGTAAATCGCAATTCTCAGACGGTTCTAGCAGGTAAATCTAAACTTGATATAAATCAAGTTAAAATTAAAATTCTGTGCATGGTAACTCTTCCCATCTGAGCACAATCCCTTTCTAACCTCACCCCGAACCACTGAGCATAAAAAGCACAATGGTCTTTTAGAGTTCTAGAATGAGACTTTTTTTTTTAGGCGAGGCAATACCTACATTGACCTCACAGACTGCAAGGGCTTTGTCAGCTTACAATCGCTTTTTTTTTTTTTTTACGCCTACAGCACCTGGTCTTCCTAGGTGGTCTCCCATCCAAGTACTAACCAGGCCCGACCCTGCTTAGCTTCCAAGATCAGACGGGAATCGGGCTTGTTCAGGGTGTCATGGCCATAGACAGAATCAGAGACTTTTGATACCAATAGAAATCATATAAGTTAAGTCACTCAATGAGGAAAACCCTCCTTCAAAGCCCCTGGCCCTTGATTACTCATCATCTGCTTCACTGCTTCTCACAATGCAGTGGGCTGGGGGCAGGAGGGAATTCAAAAAGACTCACTATTTCACAGGGCAATCCTTCCTTAAAGGGAAGAGGTATCTGCTTTCCAGTCATTTCCACACCCTGGAACTGGTCCCTACCTCACAAGAAAGATCTTTAAATACATAAAAGCAGTTATTACCCTTCACTGAATTTTTAGTCCAAACTAATTATCTCTAGTTCATTAATAGCTCATATGTTGGACTAAAGAAGGTATCAGTGATACAAGAAAATAGGAGGAACCAAGAGAACCTTTCTTTCTGGGCCCAATATAAGCCCAAGAAGCATATCAAACCAGGTCAAGCTTGTGCTAGATTAAAAATGGCCAGGAATTCTTTGGTATTTCTCCCCTACCAAGGCAGACTCTAGGTTACCTCCCACAGTGACTCTAAGATTGGCCCTGTGACTTGCTTTGGCCAGTGGGAAATCAGCAACTGCAAAGCAAACAGGCATCTGATATGCAAGTACTGGAGCTTGGCTTCTTAGATTGCTACTCTAAGACTGCCATGCTGTAAAGAAGCTGGTCTAGCCTCCTGAAACACAAGAGACCATGAGCTCCAACCTACATCTACTAGCAACTGCCAGACATGAGTGAGGCCATCTGGAACCATTGGGCCACCCGTCATCATCTGACTGCAGCTACGCAAAAAAAAAAAAAAAAAAATCTAAAATAGGCAGAAAAACCAACTAGCCAAAACACAGAATTAGAAGAAATATTTCATTGTTGTTTTAAGCCACTAAGTTTGTGGTGGTTTGTTACACACCAGTAGATTACTGATACACTTGTTCCTCCTCTAAAGATCTTTCAATCTCAATGGAAAGAATCTGATAAATCTTAAACCTTTCAAGGGGCCTAAAAGCAATAGACACTAACCAATAATGAAGAAAATACCATTTTTAAGCATCTACCTGAGTTGTGAGGTTCTATGTTAGATTATGTATATACACTAATTCTTCAATCACTCTATAAAGTAGGCATCTCTATTTTACAGATGAAGAAGCTGAGGTAAAGCAAAAGTAAGT